CCTTCTAGGCTACAACTTCCTTAAGGGATAGAAATAGATTAGATAATTCATAAGCTAAAATTCTATCAGTTTAAAAAAAAATGAAATTTTATCAGTTTATGAACAATATCCTGACCTAGAAAGGTACAAATGAATGATCTTAATGCAGTTTCACCAGTGTCTGAAGAAGATCCTTTTACCTCCAAGAAGAAGCCATTGATCAACTAATTATTCAAGTCACACATGTGTGGCCAAGAACATAAAGTGCTAGTTTTCAACCAGAGGTGATTCTGATGCCTACAGGTTATTTGACAGTATATAAACATTTTTATGATCTACAAACATAGCTGAGATGAGGTGGAGGTTGTTACTGGCATATAGTAGGTAAAAGCCAGGGATACTGCTGACATCCCACAATACGAAGGATCTCCATAAAAATTATCTAACCCAAAATGTCAACAGTGCCAAGAATGAGAATTCTGAAACAGAGAAATAGAAATTCTCACCTCTTTTCTTACAGTTTTATAAAGTTTAAAACATATACCTTTGGGGCCTCCCCGATGACGCAGGGTTTAATCTCAGCACTATCAATCCCAAACCAGGGTGCAGCAGACCTCTCCTGTCTGGTCCGCTGCTCCCCTCAGCAGTGTATTTCAGTAGATCTTGCCTGTTTTGCTCCCCATTCTTTCTCTGATGAATCCACTTACCCCTTGCACCTCTGACCTATATACCCCCCCCAATCTTGTATGCATAAATAAAAATAAATCTTAAAAAAAAAACAAAACCACGGATCTTTGATCCGTCTTTCATTGCTAGGAACTTACTACACAGAAATAGTCGCATAAGCACATAAAAATAAACGTGCATGTACAAAGATATTTACGGAAGCACTTTTTATATTAAGCACTGGTGACAACCTGTAAAATATAAAATGATTAACTAAAAATATGATGATATTGTAAAAGGCCATTAAATGATAACGTTCAAAAAAGGGAAGTTACAAAACAGTATGTATAGTCACATAGTTTTTCTGCAAACAAATTCACATACACACACACATTTTATCACACAGAAAAATATTCTGGAGTCATGTTCCAAAAACAATTTGGAAGCAGGATTAAAGTGAGCACTCATATTCTGTAACAACAATGTAGCAAAATTAAATATAGTTACATTATTTACAATAAAGATAAATTAAAAAACAAAAGTAGTGACTCTTACCAATTACACAGCATGTTTCTACACGATATTTATCAATCTCACAGAGGTTGTGAGCCAGATAACTCAACTCAGATTTCATGCTCTGAAAGGAAAGAGAAAGACAATCTAAGCATCAAAAATAGGAATACCTGGAATTATTTTCTTATAGCTAATGCAACTGGTGACAATCCAACCCAGAAAATTATCACTAGTTTTTAATTTTTTTATTTTTGCACAGAAGAACTGGGGTATAGGTACAGAGAGTGAGAGCATTCACCAGAGACAGAGTCAGGGAGCAGATTAGGTAGATCTAGTGATACACTGCTGAGAGGAGCAGTAAGCAAGACAGAGAGGTCTGCTGCACCATGTGGGTTAGCTCCCTCGCCAAGGGACTTAACCCATAACCTACCCTAGGGCCTAGGGAGGCCCAACAGGAAATTAAAGCACAAGAAAGCTTAATCAAGTCCAAGCAAAGAAAATAGCTTACCCTGACATAAAGAAGGTTGGAAAATGTGTCCATATTTTCAATCCTATAAGGGTCTTGTTTCCTTAACTCATTAAAAATAGAGAGGGCTTTGTCAATATCTGTAGAAAGAAGATAAAGAGGTCAAAAAACAACACAATGCACCTCTCAGGATCTAAATGAATTTCATTGCCCTTATTCACTCACCTCTGATATTGTGATAGGCAACTGCAATTTGGGAAACAATATATGAGCTCTTAGAAAAGCCCACATCAATGAGATTCTGATACTTTTGTAGGGCCTCCTCTATCAACTGCAACTCCGTATATATATGAGCCAGAAAAAACTCTTTCATCCAGGTGTCTGGCAAAGACAGGAACTTTAGCTGGCAGCAGGAGAAAAAGGAACATACTTTGAGTTCTTTCCCAAATGAACATCATGGCACTATCTTCATCATCTAAAGGAGTTTCTCACCAAAATTTGATTCAAGCACTTATTAATGAACACAGGGTAATTCAATTAAGTGAATAGAACTGTAAGCACAACAGGGAGAAATGGCCATGCTGGGGAAGGTATCAAAGGATGAGAACTGAGATGAGTCTTAGAGGACGGGTTAGATTTGGATAGAAAAATGGACAAGGAAGGGAGAAAAGTCAAGGGCAATGTAAATACAGGAAAAACAATATGATGACTGTGAAGAAATTAACTTGCTTTGAAAGTAGGCTATGTGCTAAGAAGCAACAGAAAATTAAGACTGAACTGATAGGGTGGGCCCTATGGTACAACAGGAAAAATGGGATGAAACAGGAAACTACAGTTAACTGTTGGCAAGATAATGACATGATGTGGATGTCATAAGAAGTTCAGTTTGGAAGTTCAGTTTGGAAATGGTAGCATAACCCATGGGAAAGCAAGATAGAAAGTATTTATTATGTATAATTAATTCGAATTTGCGATGATAACTAAGATGGCAAAAGAAACTAGGAGGAAGGAATGCATACAAGGAGGTAACCATGGCAGTGTCTGGTGACTGATTAGATAAAAGATGATAAAAGAAAGAAAAGACAAATATGAATGAGATGTCTAGAGAAAAAGTAACATTGAGTCTATCAAGCTGAGAGAAAAAAAAGATTTTAAGGTATGTTTTTGCATATTTTGAGTTCAGAGATAAGAGAAACTTCCAAAAAAGTCTAATAGGCAGTTTTTTTTTGCAGAAATATGGATGGAGCTGGAAAAGATCATGCTTTGTGAAATAAGCCAGAAAGAAAAGGAAAAATACCAGGTGGTTTCACTCCCAGCAGGCGTATAATGGACCAGGCGAGAAAATAATAATAATAATGAACAGCTATATACCAGCGACATTTTATGGGGGTGGGGTGGGGAATGGTATCAAAAACAGTGTAGGGAGGGAAATGCACTGGACTGTGGTGATGGCACACGGGTGATCTGGTGATGGGAATCCCACGGGGATTACAACTAAGATGGAAAAATGCACAAAACGATGTAAAAATAAGCTATTATATTATTAAAAAAAAGTAAGTCTAATAGGCAATTAGAGTGAAGTGAATATAAGTAAATCAAGATTAGATGTCAGACACAGACTTAAAAAATCAACTGATCTTTGGCTCTTCAGTGTTAATAAAAGGAGATGTTCTGTCACCTTCATTAATTACTAAACAACAACAAAATGAATTCTATAAAAAACATACTCTAGGGAAATGCATGGGACTATGGTGGTGGCACAGGGGTGATTTGGTGATGGGAAACCCGCAGGGATTACAATCGAGATGGAAAAAAAAAAATGTGCAAAATGATGTAAAAATAAACTTTGTAATAAAAAAAGAAAAAAAAAGAAAAAAAAATACTCTAATACTGACCAATAAAATATAATACTAATGAACCAATAAATATAGCAATTTCATATATATTATTTCATTAACAAATCTCCAAATTTTTAGAGTTCTATGACAGCTCAAATGAGATTTTAAAAATATTTTTAATATAATCCTTGATATCAGAGAGACCTTTCCTGTAGCATTTTTGGAATTAGAAAAAAACTAAAGAGCATTTAGTCCATAAAGAAATGACAATAAAACATGAATGTGAAAACAGTAATGTGAAAAGCTACTCAAATATAATAAGAGACAAACCCAACAGCTACTGAGCAGGAAGGAGATACTGCTCTTTCCAATGATGACCTTCCCAAAGTGAAATAAATCTGAATGGGAGCAAAGAGCCAGCTTATACCCAAAGTTTTAATTAAACTTTCTTGCCCTACCCCATTACAATAGCATTTCAAAGACTTGGTGGAGAGGGTTTTTCACATCTCACTTTACCATCTCCTTATCTGTAATCAAGTTACAGAGCTCCAGCCAGGCTCCCCAATGCAAAGGCAAAACATGAGTAGCTTCCACGAACACATCAATGGCCTCTTTCACCAAGTCAAGTTTACGAAGTACCACCCCATACCTAGGAAAGAAGGAAACAACAAAAGGACAAGTTAATGCTTTTTAACATCTTTCTTCTACTTAGGATACTGCTTTAGAGAACATTCCAAATGATTCTAACAAACACTTACAGATAAAGGCCAAATCCATCAAGTTCCCGGGCCTGGTGTTTCTTACTGAGCTCTACTCTTAACTCTCTAAGAGCCTCATTTTTAACTTGTCCTTTTTCCAGAGGACCTAGAGAAGAAACACTCTGAATTAAAGGAAGATTTCAATTCAGAGACATAGATCTTTCCTGTGTCATCAACCTGGAACTTCCAGCATACATTCACAAGTAGTCAAGGATATCTTATATGTCCTGTTTTCTTTATCTCAGAAACCACAACTGATTAACTGGTATGCAGTCATATTTTGTTAGACCCATACAGGTTTTTGTATAGGGTGAATTAGTTATCAATGTTAAAAATCTGAATTTTCAGTTTGAGGTTGCAGGGCAGGGAGTCTAGGCAAGGGAAGAAAGGTCTAACAATACCACACCCACTTTCCCACAAAGCAGCCTTCAGCTGAAGCTGGGTAACAACTGTCCATTTGTGCTCTTCCATTTGCAACAGTCCTTCTCAGTCTACTTCATATATTTATATTACCTGTTTGGTGCCTGTAGGCATTTAAGTTTGCAGCCCCTGCTTCAATCCAAAAGGTAAAAGGAAGTCATACCTAGACTGTCAACTGTTTCATCATCCTTCTTCTTTTCTCCAGACTGTAAGACAAAAACCACCACAAAGGTCTTTATTCAATGTATTCTGAAATATATTCTTTTTTTAAAAAAGATTTATTTATGGGCTCTCCCTGGTGGCACAGCAGGTGGCACAGCACAGCACTAAGAAGCTAAAGCCATTTCATCATGAGTTCGATCCCCAGCCCCAGAGGCGATCCACATTGCACGGCAGACATCTCCTGACCCACCCACTACTCCCCTCAGCAGTCTATTTCATCAGTCAGCCTGTTCTGCTCCCCACTCTGTCTCTGGTGAATCTTCTCACTGCCCCTGCACCTCTGGCCTGGACCCTAATTCCTGTATGCACAAATTTTCTTTAAAGAAAAAGATTTATTTATTTATGCATACAGGAACTGGGGTCCAGGTCAGAAAAGTAGGGCAAGAGAGGATTCACCAGAGACAGAGCGGTGACCAGAACAGGCTGTTAAATAAAATACACCGCTGAGGGGAGCAGCAGACATCTATTATTGGCCATGAATTTAAAAAAATTATTTAAAGGCTGACACTGGCCAAATTCAGGATAATTTAAGGACCAAAATAATAAGCACAGTAATAAATTATAAACCATTAAAAAATAAGAATCCTTGAGTTTATACTGATATTTTATAGATAAATAAGTAGAAAAGGGAAGGCTCTTGTTTAGGGTAGAACACTGAATAGTGAGTAGTAAATGCGGAAAGACACATCAGCATCATTTTTCAACATAGAAAAGAGCACTTCAGGTGTGGCCCTCCCTGGTGGTGCAATGGGTTAAAGCACAGTGCTATGAAGTGATCTACAGCCACTGCAACAGGAGCCAGGGAGCTGACCCTACATGGTACAGCAGAGCTCTCTTGTCTCCTCTACTGCTCCCCTCAGCAGTGTATTTCAGTCAAACTTCCTGTTCTGCTCCCCACTCCGTCTCTGGTGAATCCTTTCATCCCACCCCGCACCCCACACCTCTGGCCTATACTCCAGTTCTTGGATGCATATATAAATAGATCTTTAAAAAAAAAAAAAAAAAAGAAGCCTATGGAAAATTTTATTATTTTTAAAGATTTATTTAATACAGAACTGGGGTACAGTCTGGAAGAGCAGGGGCAGTGAGAGGTCTGCAGTGCCATGTGGATCACCTCTGGGGGTGCTGCGGCTAGCTTGCAGTGCTGCACTTTAATTTGTTGCGCCATTAGGGAGGGCCCCCCATGGAAAACTTTAAAAAAAAAAAAAAGAGTACTTTGGGCAAGAATTAACATTGGATATTAAAGTAGGAGAAAATTTTTATAAGATACTTAATTGGCATCTGCAGTCTGCATATCACTGCAGATTGCAGATTAGTGCACTACAAATAATAGCAATTTTATTATAAAGACAATGGAAAATATCTGGATTGGTTGATCAAAATTAACATTAGCACGGAGGAGCTATGGATATTGTATACTACTGGATACAATGCCCAGGATACTCCACTATTCTGGCCAGGTATGTATAAACTAGATAAAATGACACAGAAACAAAACACATACCAAAATGAAAAATGTTCGATTTTTAAAAAATAGAACAGAGTAAAGACCCATATTATACAACACAAATAGTGTTATGTAAACTGGCCTTTCTTTGATAATGATATGTGAATCAACATAAATGATAAATGATACAGTAAATGTATTACACTGGTGTGGGCTATTGATGGTGGGAAAGCCATGTGTATAGGGGGTGGAAGCACCTGTACTTTTTGTTCAGTATTGCTCTAAATTTAAATTGCTCTTAAAAATAAAATGTTTTTTTAAAGGAAAAAGAAGAGAGAACTGCAAACTTGGAAAAATGAAAATGTCGTAAGAGCAAAGAAAGCCTATGGAAATATTCCAGGTAAGAGATTAAAGAGGCATGCCAACTAAATGCATTTTTAATCCTCGATTGTACTGGAGAAATGCCATAGACAAAACTGCTAGGTTAACTGATAAAATTTTAATTAAAGGTTAGATTAAAGTATTGTATCAATGTTAAATGCACTGAAGTTAACAACTATACTGTGGCTTATTTAAGAAAATATCTTTATTCTAAAGAGATGAACATTAAACATTTAGCAGTACTTTACCTGTAATTTACTCTTAAATAATTCCAAGGGAAAAAATGTGTGTCATTGTGTGTGTGAGAGACAGAACAATTATAAAGCAAATAAAATATTCATATAGATCAATCTGGATAAAAGATACAATGGAGGTTATTTGTACTATTCTTTTTCCTGCAACTTTTTCTGTCAGTTTGAAATTATTATCAAGTGAGAATACTTAATTTTTCTTTTTACATTTTATACACCTGCCCTTTGGATTAAGGGCACTGCAGACCTCTCACTGCCCCTGCTCTTCCAGACTGTACCCCAGTTCTGTATTAAATAAATCTTTAAAAATAATAAAATTTTCCATAGGCTTCTTTTTTTTTTTTTTTAACTTAATATTTTTTCTCCTCAACTTTAGAAATGTTGCTTTTTCGCCCAGAACTTGCCCAAATTGTTGCTTATGCACAGGTAAAAACTTATGTAAGAGAATTTTTAAAAACCCCAATTTCAAAACATCTTGCTTAAGTTCATGGTTTTGTTAACTAATAACTCTTAACCACACAATCAACCAACCACAAGGAATAATCGTCCCATAGAGAAAATCTATTTGAAGGGATTCAGTAGATCCTATTTCAACTCAACATACAAGATGCAAATGGAAGTGTCCACAATCAAATATAATGGTAGGTCTCCCTTGTGGCACAGGGTTTAAAGTCTCAGTGCTATCATATGACACAGCAGACCTCTCCTGTCTCGCCTACTGTTCCCCTCAGCAGTGGATTTCAGTAGACCCACCTATTCTGCTCCCCACTCTATCTCTGGTCAATATTCTTACCCCCCACACCTCTCTGGCCTATATCCCAGTTCTTTTATACATAAATAAATAACATAAATCTTTATATTATATAATGGCTATCAAGTATATTTTCTAGAACTCAAACAGCCGAAAAGACAGTATGTAGGATATTTTAGTCTTAAAACAAACATAAAAGTTGGGATGTAGGAGCATGGAAGGGTACAGGTGTCCACATCAGGATGTTAAGAGTCAAACTGGGAGTCCAAATTGGGGGAAGAAGGTAGAGTCCAAGCAGGATATGGAGGTGTCCTAAAGAGGTGGCCTGGCAAGTAGGATAAGGACATTATCCACATGGGGGAGAAAGGAGAATAGAAATAGAAATGGAGGTCAGTCAATTAATACATTAATGATAACCTGACCAACTTTCTCACTAATATAATAAGAAATTATGAACACAGAAGAGCAAAAACTTTAATGATCCCATACTGTGAAATGGAGGTGGAGATATTAGTATAAAGTTAAGGTTATATAGGCATACAATATACCTATATAAAGTATATAAGTAATATATGTGTATACTCACACAAATGTAGATACATAAACACGTATGTATATATATACATATATTGCTAGCTCTGTCCATTGAGTGAACCTGAAGCAGTAACATCCTAATAACATACCTGCACCCACTACCTAAAGAATAAGTGAAAGCTTAAGCCTTTAGAGAATAGCAGACAAATTCAACAAATGCTGATAAGACACTAAGTTATAAATTAAAAAATAAATGAAGTTCAAACCACAAGAAGCACTATACTTCACAAATAGACTATGCTAGCACCTGGAAATGAGCATAGTTTTCAGAAAAAAAACAGTAAAGTTACATTCATAATTACAAAGTAAAATAATAAATTACAGTTAAATTATTAAAAGCAGTATTAAATTATTTTACTTGCATTGTCCTTTAAGTCTTGGTTTTTAACAGTTTGAAACAAAAATAACAAGTGTACTATAAATAAAATTATAACAGGGTTTATAAATTTAAAAATTAGCTAAGGCTTTTAACTTGCTTCTTTTTCCAATTTTTCCCCATTTTATTGAGGTATTATACAAATTTAAGTTATACAACATAATGGTTTGACTTACATGTATTTAAAATGATCAACAAATGAGGTTAGTGAGATTTTAACCTAATTCTTGAACAATATTAACTAATAAACATAAAGAACTTTACAAAATTAAACTTAGATTTGTGGCTACCAAAGATGAGAGAGAAGTAAGGTCAGGGGAGGGTAACTGGATGAAAGTGGTCAAAAGGTACAAACTTAGTTGTAAGATTAATAAACATTGGGTTGTAGAACATGATGACTATAGCTGACAATGTTATTAAGCAAGTCTGTCCTAAAAGCTCTCATCACAAGGAAAAAAACACCTTTTTCTTTCTCTTATTTTGCATCTATATGAGATGATGGGTGCTAAATAAACTTACTCTAGGAATAATTTTACAATATATGTAAGTCAAATCATTATGCTTAAACGTATAGCTCAAGAAAACAAAGAAAAAAATTCCAACTTAGTTTAAAATATGTACGCTTTACTAGTAGCAGAATGACATCTTAAAATAGCCTTACCAGATACCTAGAATACATGTATAGGAAATAGGCTTTCTTGCTGTTGCACCCATGCAGGAAATGTGCTGCCCGATCATATTCTTTAACATCAAAGTAAGCCTTGGCCAGAGTATAAGCATCCATATCTTGTGCATCCTCCTATAAAAGAGACAAGTTACTATAAAAGCTTGGGAAAGGACAAAAAGTTCAAATCCAGAAGCATGCTCACTAGTTTCAAGATTTAAGAAAACAATTATTTCTCTTCTTCCAAAAATCACATATACCTTCACCCATATTTATACAAATATACATGGATAGACATGTAAGTTATTATATGTATTTATTTTATTAGGAAGGAAAAAATCACAGGAAATTTTTTCAAAATAAAAAATCAAGGCCCTCCCTGGTGGCACAGCGGGTTAAAGCACATTACTGAAAAGCTAAAGCCACTTCAGCATGAGTTCAATGCCCGCCTGCCCGAGAAGTGACCCAAATGGTGCAGCAGACATCTCTGGACCGGCCTGCTGCTCCCTCAGCAGTGTACTTTGACAATCTGCCTGTTCTGCTCCCCACTCTGTCTCTGGTGAATCCTCTTACCACCTCTGCACCTCTGGCCTGTACCCCAGTTCTGTATCCACAAATAAATAAATTTAAAAAAAAAAATCAAGGAGAAAGTTAAAATTTAAAAAGCTAAACCAACACATTTAGAAACATCTATTGTTCCTGTCAACATAGCAGGAAGTTGCATAGTTTTGGTTTTAAGAACCTGGAGTTAAACTGTGACTTCTTCATTTCCTGGTTTCATATTAGTAGGAAAGTTACATAGCTTCTCTGACTATTCATTTCTTCGTCTGTAACAAGGAATAATACTACAGATTTGAAGAGAAATGTAAAAAAAAGTCTTCAAAGTGATTGGCATTAATATCTAACCCTTCTTGGGCCCTTCCTGGTGGGCAATAAAGTGCTGTCCCAAGCCAAAGCTGCACCGGGTTCAATAACCAGCTGAGCGGGAGGGGCAATTTGTGACATGTTAATATTGCTGGAAGCATACAATAGTGTTAGAATTCTCTTTTTAAAAATGAATGTTGTACCTTTAAGTAAAAAGATACAATCCTCCCCTAAATTCTTGGGATACAATGATTTAAACTAAAATAATTTCATTTTCCCTAAATATCACCAGCACAAAAGTGAAACCAAAACATATTCAGTGTTTTTGCACAAAATCAACAGGTATTAAATGCAACCATTCAACTTAGGATCCTGGTGGCCCTCTTCACACCCACACACCATGTTTCGCATTTCTTTCAAAACCCCCCTCACTTGCATTATATCTTGTTTTTATGTGTCTGGGGGGGGGCGGAATTGGAAAAAAAGGCAACCTCAGTGGATTATGATGAAATCATTCAGATTGCAAAGACAACGTAAACACAGCACCGAAAACACACACAAAAAATATTCATATTGCATTTAACTCTTTCAATACCCTCATAAAGAAAACATTATTATCTTTATTTCACAGATGAGGAAACTGTAGCTCGGGAGGTTAAGGAAATTGCCAAAATTCATCACGGTGGCTTGGATTTGAATCCAGGGTTGTCTGACTCCTAAACCAGTTTCTCACTAGAAACGGTGGTTTTTCTCACCGTTATGAACATAGTTTAGGTTGTAAAACCTACAAGGGTGATGCCTTAAACAAGGCTTAGCAATTCTCTCCAGCCTGAGAGCCCCAGCCAATCTGTCAAAACTCAAAATCCACCCAAATAAAATCGCTTAAAACACTCAGCTCTTAAGATGCTGGAAGCCTCTCTACAAACGTTCCTGTCGCACACTCTCAAGTGACAGGGCACACCTCTTCAGGTGATGAGGGAGCGCTCGCGGGTGAGTTCTTACCTCTGTAATAGGCGGTGGCGGCTGCAGCTCGGACAGAGGCAACGCAGGGAGGGAAAAGGCCAACTCTGCGGACCTGCAACACAACACACACTGAATCCACTCCACAAGCCCCCCAAGGCCATGGAGCCGAGACCGGTCCTTTCAGACTCCGACATCTCACCATTTGCTGCTGTGCAGTAGACCCCGCTCCCGGGTAAGGCCCGCGATAAGTAGCAGCTGCTTTTTAATTTCTCGCAAGTTTGAGAAACCACTGCTGGCTGATAGGACCTGCCCCACAGCAGCCGTCACCGCCACAGGGGCTACTGAGGTGCTCGCAGCCATTTTCCAGGCTCCGCCACTCCAGCCAATCACCAGTGATAATACTAGCCGTCCTCCAGCACGTAAAAACCCTGCCTGTGATTGGTAAACTCTTGCTCCAGAAACTCCAATCAGACATCTTACTTATGGCGATCTTCGCTAAATGTCGGGAAGACACAGATAATTACACCCTCGATTGGCCGAGAGCTACTGGAGCGGGAAAGTTAGAATCAGAGAGGGGTGGGTGGGTGGGTGGGTGGAGGGAAGCCACGCCTCTCCGGCAGGCAAAAAGGTGTGAGGGAGGGGGAGAGGTGAACTAGGAGATTCTGGGTGGGAGTAGGGGGAAAAAAAGGGGTCTAAGGGGAGTGTGCGCTGCGCTTTAGGGGTGATGTGGATGGGCGAAAACTAGAGTGTAGTTGGTTAGCAGATTCTGTGCTAGTACTTGATAAGGCTGAATTTTTCTTTAATTTTGGAAGATGTATGGCCTCAGGTCTTTTTTATCCTCATCCAAGGGAGGTGGGAAGATAGCTAACGTGTGCTGAGGACTTACCCTATGACTAGTTCTGTTCTTTTGATTTAACAGCTTTATAGTAACTTCCATCAGCCTAATATTACAGATAAGAAAACAAACTCAGAGAAATTCTATCCAAGGAGGAAAACAAAATTGTAATCCAGCCCCGACTTCAAAGCTCAGCTTTCCTAAATACTACATATTTACAGGATAGTGCATAATTTAACCAGCTCCCTTGGGAATTTTTTGAATCAATTTGTCATTCTTTGAGTATTGTATAGTAGTATATAGTATTGTATAGTCTTAATATATATTATTAAAAATTGCACGATAAAGTCTATTTTAATCACACCATAATATAAATAATGTATAGTATATGAAGGCAACTTTTGCTTTTTTCCATGTTTCACTAGTGATAGGCACTTTATTTTGAATTTATAATTTAAGAAAAAAAACGATATGTATCTGCTCTCTACACTGATTATAAATTGAATAGTAACAAGTAACTTGTGTCTCTAGATAGTCAAATAACATTTTTATGGCCTGTTGCTTAGAATTTTTGCATTTTGTCCTTTAATATAGCAAACTGTACTTGTATATAATTTCATCATTTTCATTTTTTTTAAATAACTAGAAATTAGAGATTATTTAAAGATGCTTTTGGCAAGTACTTCTCTACAACACATTCTAGGTATAGCCATTTGTCCCAGTGAATGGAGAGCTAAATTGCTAATACTGTCATACAATTTTTCTTTTTAAATTTATGGTTGTTCTTACAGTATCATTAATTTGTAATTTTTAAAAGATTTATTAATTTATGCATACAGGATTAGGGTATAGGCCGGGGGTGCAAGGGCAATGAGAGGATTCACCAGAGACAGAGGAGGGAGCAGAACAGGCAAGTACACTGCTGAGGGGAGCAGTGGGCAGGTCCTGAGAGGTCTGCCACCATGCCATGCAGGTCACCTGCAGGGCCAGGGATTGAACTGGCACTGAAGCAGTTGCTGCTAGCTTGCAGTGCTGCATCATAACCCATTCTGCCACCAGGGAGGGCCCTAAATTGTATTTTTAAAATGTAATGTTATATTCCTCCAAATTCCCTCTTCATACATATCATGCTATTACATAGACTTTCTAATTTTATATTTTATAACATATATTACAAAAATAATGTATGGTTGATGCAGAGGACTTGAAAAATACAGCAATCCTAAAGAAAAATAAATACAGCACTGCACACATATGAGATGGACCAAAATCCAGAACACTGACAACACTAAATACCGACAAGGATGCAGAAGAACAGGAACTCATTCCTTGCTTGTAGGAATGCAAAATGGTAGCAAACACTTTGGAAAATACCTTGGCAATTTCTAAAAACTAAACACACACTTTACCAAACAATGAAGCAGTTGCATCCCATGATATTTACCCAAAGTAACTGAAAACTTATATCTACACAAAAATATACATATATATGTTTATACCAGTTTTATTTATAATTGCCTATACATGGAAGTACCCAAGATATCCTTCAATAGGTAAAAGGATAAATCTGTTACATTAAAATAATGGAATATTACTCAGCACTAAAAATAAATGAGATATCAAGCCATAAAAAAGCATGGTGAAAACTTCATTGTATTTTACTAAGGGAAAAAATACTGAAAAGATGTCATGCTGTATCATGCCAACTATATGATATTCCAAAAAGGAAACTTTGGAGAATTAAAAAGATCAGTGGCTGCCAAGGCCTCTAGGAGAGGAAGAATAAGTGAGTAGAGCATAAAGCCTTTTTAGGACAATGAAGAGATAGTGTAAGATATTCCAATGGTGATATATGACATTATTTCTCCAAACCAAGAATGGATCCTGAGTCCTAGTGATATATCAGTTTAGGTTCACCAGTTGTAACAGATGTACCATTCTGGTGGGACATATTGATAATAGGGAGACTATGCAGGTGTGGGGGAGGGGTCAGTGGGAAATCTACCTTCTCACATTTGCTGTAAACCTAAAACAGAACTAAAAAATAAACTCTCTTAAATAAACAAGTAAGTAGGACATTTCAATATATAATTCCCACCTACAGAAATCACTGGTTTCTGTATTTTTTTCAGTTATATACATAACTTTACACTGTTTTATTCCCCACATCTCTAACCTGGTAATTCACCTGAACATTTTCCTGTACTACTCAATACAGGAAATAATTATCCTTCTGTACTGAGATCCTTAAAGTTCACATATAACCCATTATATGCATGTACCATAAATATACATAAACAATCTCCAATGTTGCACTTGTATCATAATCACAATTTTAAAAACTATATAATTAGATAGAAATAGCATCTTTTAGGTTTTTATTTTCTTGTCACATTGGTATAATTTGGTTTCTTATTGCTTTAAATTATGAAATATTGAGCATATTTGTAGAATTTTTTAATATTTATTTTCTCAAAATAATAATAATAATAATGAACAGTTATATACCAGAGACAATTTTTTAAAATTTACAACAGTTTATTTTTACATCATTTTGTACATTTTTTTTTCCATCTCAATTGTAATCCCCGCAGGCTTCCCATCACCACGTCACCCGTGTGCCATCACCATAATCCCATGCACCTCCCTCCCCCCCCATTTTTGATCCCATTCCCCACTCCACCCCCACAAAATGTCTATATACCAGAGACAATTTATGGGGGTGGAGTGGGGAATGGGATCAAAAACAGAGGGGGGAGGGAAATGCACTGGACTATGGTGATGGCACATGGAAGATTTGGTGATGGGAAGCCCAAGGGGATTACAACTGAGATGGAAAATGCATAAAATGATGTAAAAATAAACTATTATATATATTAAAAAAAACAGAGCAGTTGTTGGTTTTGTTTAATAAATATATCAATTTCTCAGTAAGTATATTTCCAGAATTAAACTATATATAATCTTGTTTCTATCTTTTATAGTAATGAAATGTAGATTACATTAAAATTGGTTAACCAATTGCTGAATATTATTTGATATTTCAGAATTATTGAAAAATAATACCATTGGCCTTAAAATATGAAATAAAATAGCCTGTAGATTTTTATGAATTAATATCAGTATATATGTTTTTAAATGTAAGCTATTAATGGCGATTTGATTTCTTTCATAAAATTGATAGTCTGAAATACAGAGAAATTAAGTAATAAAGTAAAAATGTGTTAAATGTATTAAGCTACAATTCTAGATTTTAGGGCACAGTTATTTGAACAGATCTCATATTGCTGGTAATAAAAATGTATATTTGTTCTGGCTTAAAAAATTTTATTTTCTCAGAAAAAAATTCTTAAAATAAAGGTGGTTTTTTATTTCATTCTGAAGTATCAATCTTATTCAAAGATTTGAAGGAGAAAATATGTATTATAAACATAAAATTTTGATTAGCGTTCATGATGGGGAAAATATATTCTGTCAGAGAAAGTGAAAGAAAAGGAGAGAAGGAAAAATTTTAACATTTATTTAAACCAATTAGTGGACTTTATATATCATTTCTTCTGATCCTCACAACAGCCCTGTGTGACAAATTACTGACCAACACTTTCATCACCTCATTTTACATGTGTAGAGGACTTAGTAACTTGCATAAAGCAACACTGCTGGTATATAAAGGAACCACACATTGCACCCAAAGTTCCTGTCCTTTCTCATTACAACATGAAATCTTTCTATCAGAAAAGAAATGATTTTTAAATAATCATAAAAATATAAACAGTTCCTGTTTATTGGCTTCTAACTATATGCCAATGTCGGCTCTGCTGTTTTACATAGTTAGCTCTTTTAACTCCAGCATAAACATTATCTCATTAAAATTCACAAGCCAGTACGATAGGTATTGTTCTTCTTAAAAGGATACTGATTTATCAAAATTTAGTGTCTTGCTCTAGGTTTTACAGGTAGAAAATGGTGCAAACAGAAAAAGAAAGAAGGAATTCCATAAAAGGAGAAGAATGGAATAAATAATTCACAAAAGGGGGAATGGAAAGGAGAGAAGGAGGAACTAGAGTTGACCTACGGTGTAACTGTCAGTGGCCTCTAAAGAATTTTTCATTTCTTAATCTGAGTGGGTGATTATGAGTGTTTTTTTTTTAAGTTTATTCTTTACACTTTACTTACATACGTATAACACTTTTATACACCAAATAAGATATAAATGTATCCTGTTTCACAATTTGAAAAAGTAATGCAAAGGAAGATATTTCAAACTGCTAAGTACAACTCTAGACTATAACCACAATCTTGTCACACTGGAGAGAATTGGTAGTAGCTTTGTCTAGTCATTTGCTGTCCCACCTAATATTCTCCAGCTGCCATTAGGGTGTGAAGTCCATACACCAGGAGTCCTTTCCTGAGAAAAATGCTATCTCCTCCCTCTGTGATTCCAGATATGGCCAGTAGATGGAGCCATTTCCTCCCTCCACAGTCTTCAAACTGCTCAAGGAGAAAACTATTGCTCAAAACTGTGT